GGCACAGACGGGCTGCATAGATTACATGTCAATGGCACGTTGGTCAGGTCAGACCTCAATGAAAGCCAAATAATTAAGGGATCAAAGGACTCACCGATGCTTTTTACCAGGACACAGCGTCTTCACGTCAGCGTGGACAAAATAGCGCGGAGAGTCGGCCGGATTGGCCTGGAGAGCGGAGCTTAGGAGAAGACGAGGGATTTGCTCGTTGCCACCACGGACGGAGAAGAGGGTTGCGCCGCCTCCTGCAGACGCAAGCATGCCTGAGGGACGAATGAAAACATGAAACTAGAAAAAAATTCATGGGCAAGTGGAGGATTAAATGATAAGGACAGAAGGCTTGGGGATAGTTGCCTTTTCCCACTCATGCATAACCATAAGTTGTCAAAATAAATACTCGTGCCCGTAAACACTGCCCTGATGGTAGTTAAAGTGCGCGACCCCAATTTTCTGAATTACTTCCAATAAGCCGCATTAGAGGTTTATTTACTATGAGGAGATTGGCAGCTTTTAATGATTTGATTGACCCAATTGTAAAACATTCGGCGGCCTCTGTGGGGTTTGAACCCACGCCAGCAAGGGATGGCTTGAGTACAGGTAGCACTGTAGTCAACTGAGCTATCGAGGCTCCACCGGAGCCATGGGCTTAAAGTGAAATACATGTTGCCAAAAGTTTGATTCATAGAAGCTTATCTGGGGGGAATCACTTTTCATGTCCGCCCTCCTCCAGACTGGAGACTGGCAGGAATCGGGAGAAAGGGCAACAAAGAAAAGGAGGATTAATAATTTTTCTAACACTGGCTAGGAGAGGCTGAGTTTTAAACTTTCTCGACACTCCCATGTAACTACTTCTGCACTTCCTACAGTGAATTTCGGCAACAGATGGGAACATGAAAATTCTTTTCACATGTAGTAGGGTTCCCTCGTGATGGCTGCCATTGGCCCCTAGATCCTTCAAATCAGCGTCAGTAGCGTTAACAATAGACCACAAATTGACGCTAGGATTGACTGAAATTGTTACTTTTAGGCGCTCACGAAACGGTCACATAGTCAACTGGCTCGAAGACAGACCCACGCCTGCCGAGTTAACTCCCATCGTGCAATGCGAGTGGTGCAAAACGTGAAAGTAACCAAATTCCGCTGGCAAAAATCAAAAATCCAAAAATGAACGACTGCTGTTCGCACTTCATCCTCTGAGAAGATACAGACAAAACAGTCAGGAGTAGCCTCGTTATTCAGCTCCTCGCGGCAGTCTACTTTGTCCCGACCTCGAACCTGCCTACTTTGTGTAAGATGGGATTTCTAAGCCAGTTGACCTCATTTTCATCAAGAACTGGAGAGCGCAGAGTTTTCGCCTACTAATTACGGTTCGCCGATGGCAGCGCTGAATGAAAACATGAATCGTGACTTGGTATTTTATCAAGGTAATCCTTCGCTTCGATAAGTCTGAACATGTCGTTTCTAAGGGTCCCAACAGAACTATTCCGAAGGCATTAGGATAACGTGTTTTATCGGACTGCGGAGGTTGTTATGATTCTCCGAAGCAGAGTCTACAAGGCATTAAAATTCGTCAATACCTAACACGGCTACAACACCTGGTGCCCAAAGATAGAATAGACGAGATACAGCGAGGTGGGCTATCTCATGAAATGTAGAGCGAAATTGTGAAAGATGTTTCGATTGGGAAGGGTTCCTTGGCCAGGGCTTTAATATTGATTACCATTCAACATAATCCAACAACATTTCAGACTTAGTACAGTAGTCGCCGGTTGTTAAGCCCACGGTTAATAGGCCCAGCCACCTATTAAGCCCAAATCAGCTTGG